CCCTACCGCTGCGACTTCCCCGGTAAGCCGCCTCTGGGGATGGGCTGCCTTCCCTCCCCCGCCCAGAAGAACCGGCATCCCACCTCACTTGTCCTCCCCGCTACCCCTCCTTCGTCTCCCTGACGGGTCTCCCCTGAGACTTCGCCTCAGCTATCAAAGACCTCCATCTAATTTGGCAGCTGGGGGACGCTGCGCCTTTGCTCCCGTGACTTTGTGAAGCACGGCAAGACACAGCATCACTGTCCAGTGGTGCACCTTAACCCGGGCTGTGCGGGTTTTCATTGCCCACCTTGGGTAAACAGTTGTATTTCCTCGGAGTAACGTAGTGTAGGATTGCACTGTTTGTTTGGTTTTTTTTATGTTCCCGGATGTAACATCCTGGAAAAAGGATCATGAAGATGCCTCGCTAAAAGCTGGAAGGGAGAAAAGAGTGCAATTTTCCTGATTTTTATTGCTGTTTCCCTTCTCTCCCCAGGCTGTGAGAGAACGTTTATCACAATGAGTGCATTATTCTCCCATAACCGAGCCCACTTCAGAGAGCAAGAGCAGTTCACCTGCTCGTTCCCTGGCTGTAACAAGCAGTATGACAAAGCCTGCCGACTGAAAATCCACATGAGGAGTCACACAGGTATTCACAGGCCTGACTTGTACCTGGGGAAGTACATGGAAGATAGTTATGTGAAGAGTGGACTTCAGTTTGCTGGAAAAACTGAAAGTCATGAAGGGAGGAAGGGTGACAGGAATTATTTGGAGTCAGTGATTCTTGACCTTCTGCGAGGAAGGGGTAGGAGTCTGCTGAATCAACTGGCCAAATACAAAGTAGTTAGGGACATGCAAAGCTGTGGTTTCTGTCATTGTGCACTCTGTCCAGCAAAACTATCCCAGCTCTACTCCCAAATTCATAGACCTTCAAAGTGTTGGTCAAAACAAACAGCTGAAAAACTCTCAGACCATGTGGAGTGTTTGTGCCAAGGCTGGGAACAGCAAGAAGGTAAATTTCAACTCAGGCAAGCACTCCTGACTTGCAAGGACCACTGCTAAGCTGAAATACAGCCTTCTTATGTTTTAAAGACACTTGTGTGTACTCTCTACTGTCCTCTGTTTTTGTGGCTTTAGTGTTGAGTTTTGGGGTTTTTTTTGTTTTCTTAAGTGTCACTTTTGTTAAGTTAAAGTTCATAGATGTGATGAAAATCAACTTCACATACTTCACTGTATGGTAATCAAGATGCAGTCACAGGTCATGAAAACAAGAAAGAACATTTCTGTTTTCAGTACTGCTCTTATTTACTGGTTATTAAAGTACCTTCAAGATAGCTCAGATTAATATGAGGTGGATTGATAAATCTGATCTGTGATCTTTGATGCACAGGAAAAGATGCAGTAGCCTGGAGGCCCAGACTGTACAAGGGTGTAGGGGCATGACAATACTGTGCAGTGCATTGCAGGACAGAGTGGCTGAGTTGTTCTGTCTTAAATTATTTTAAGCAGGTTTTGATGTTTTCTAGCAGCAGTGTGTATTTTCATATTCAATGGTTAAGGTAATCTTTTTTTGTTTAAGGTGAAAGACCTTTTATCTGCGACTTTGAAGGCTGTGGCTGGTCTTTCACCAGTATGTCCAAGCTTCTGAGACATAAAAGGTAAAGGAAGCTTTTTCTGATTACACTGTCCTAAGCCGCTGGCTGTTTGTTTATCTATGTATTTTTTTTCGCAGTACCTAAGCAGCAGTGGATTTAATCATGGCAATTTCCTTCCCTTGTAGGAAACATGAAGATGACAGGAGATTCATGTGCCCAGTAGAAGGCTGTGGGAAGTCCTTCACAAGAGCAGAACACTTGAAAGGCCACAGTATAACTCACCTTGGTACAAAACCATTTGAGTGTCCAGTAGAAGGTATTGCTCCACTGTTGTGTGTTTACTGGTAACCAGTGTGTATTTTTGCCTAAAGAGTGTGTGTGTTTCCCCCAAATGTGAGCTTGGTACAGGATTGGAACAATTTAGAGTGTCTTTCTAACAGTTTGAAGAGGTAAAACTGAACAGAAGACATTGCAACTAAACAAGTGATCATTCCCGAAGTTATGGATTATAGAGAAAACTGTAGTTTGTGCTCTAGCTTGACTACCTCCATCACTTCAGCAGGACTCCAGGAACAGAGATTTTTGAGTCTGATCTGAAATATTCTGCTTTATAAAGTCAAGAAGCTCTACTTAGTGATTGTGTCTCCTTTTTATGGTCTTGCCAGAAGTCATCATGAAGAGTTTAAAATGCCGTAGTGTGGAAAGGTTGTGCTTTATATTGGATGAATTCAGGGTTTCTTTTTGTCAGAAACAGGTTGTTGAACTGTCCTACCCACTCAGACGTTGATTTTGTTGAACTGTCCTACCCACTCAGACGTTGATTTCTTCTGGGTCCTCTGAGTGTGTGCACAGACACTGCAAAATAGCAAGTAGAGTTCTGCAGAGATGCTGTGATTTAAGACATTAAATATGAACAATGAATTGAAATTAGATGAAATTTCAAAGCCTTGTATATCTTCTTACAGGCTGTTGTGCAAAATTTTCAGCAAGAAGTAGTTTGTATATTCACTCCAAAAAGCATCTTCAGGATGTGGACTCATTAAAGACCCGGTGCCCTGTTTCCAGCTGTAATAAACTGCTCACTTCCAAACACAGTATGAAGACGCACATGGTCAAACAGCATAACTTCAGCCCAGGTAAAGTGTTTGTTTCAGGCTGTTAGGGGGTGCATTGGGAAAATTAAATGTTTGATTAAGGAAGATACGTATTTACTAATGTTGAAATCTTAGTCCCATTGATATGAATGACAGAATCTTTACTGAAACTGGAGTTGGTTTCTCCCTTCCCTAAAATTTTCAGTGGGACCTCTGAGTATTAGAAAGTGATACCTGCACTTGACCTGTGTGAAATTGTGAGAAATTTCATTGTTTTTTAATGAAGTAGAACTTGTCCCTGTCCGTGCCATCTCTAGAATAGTAGCAAGGTCTAAAAGAACTTCTCTTTTCACCCCTTTTTCCACTCCTCTACAGCCTGACTTAGCTTGGACTGTCTCAGTGTTATTTTTTGGCAAGTGCTTTTGTAACTGAAACTTCTCAGTAAAGGAGTGAACTTATTTCAGTAAGCTGCTTTTTCTTAGATCTGCTTTAAGGGAAGTTGGGAAGTATTTTAGTAGGCTGAGGATACAGAATTTTAAGCTTCCTCCTTTGATCATTCATATTTTTCCTCTCCATTGTCTGATTGAGAAGTCTCTCTTATAATCAAACTCTTCTTTTCCAGATCTCCTAACTCAGCTCGAAGCAACCAACTCCCTCACACCCAGCAGTGAACTCACTAGTCCAGGGCAGAGTGATCTCGGCAACATAGACCTTGTATCCCTGTTCTCCAACGTGTCTGGTAACAATTCTGGAATTGCAACAGACATGGCACTGGTGAACTCTGGGATCGTCACCATCGATGTTGCTTCGGTGGGCTCGACACTGGGAGGAAACCTGCCCACCAGTACCAATTCCTTAAGCCAGGCAGTCGATCCCTTGATCCTGGTGGCGAGCAGCGACATGCCGCAGAGCCTGGACAGTTCTCTCCTGCTGGGAAGCGGTGCAGTTCTACAGCAGAGCACTTTAAACTTGGATGATGTACAGACTGTCAACGCCGAAGCCTTGGGTTCGCTGGCGTCCCTGTCGGTGAGGAACTCCAGTCAAGATGTGCACAGCTTGACGTCCAGCAATAATTTAACCATCGACACGGCCACTTTGACTCCTTCCAGCAGCCTCAGCGGTACCAACGTGCCTGAGTTACTCGCGCCAGTTAAAGCTGAGAGGAATTTGGTTCCGTGCTCAGACGTTGTTGGTCAACAAGAGGGCAGCAAAGTAGTGACACAGTTTGTCTTCTCCAACCCTCCGGGGAGCTACAGTGCACAGAAGGAAATGGATCTTGGGGCAGTGACTGGCAGCTCGTTTTTGGTATGGAGTAACTATATTCACTTTACCCCTAGCTGACTGAGACAGCCTGACTTTGGGAGTATCCCTTGCTACTTACAGGGAGACCTTTCTCTCAGATTTTGCAGATCATGCATTTTGGCTCTTTTTTGACAAAGGGTATGGAATGTTATGTTGTGGTAGTGTGTTGTCACAAGTAGATTCAGTGTGGTGATAAGTTCTCTTAAGAAATACTGGAATTCTGGTGGGGACAGTTAAGGAAGAACCTTTCAAAATAAGCAGCCATCCATCTGAAATGGAATTTGCAGGAATACCCAAGAATATGTGATATATCTTGTGCATTTCATTCCAGGGAAAGATTTGGACTGTAAGAGTAACTGCAACATTTTACTCTGAGTCCTCATTCTTGTTTTAAGTACTCTTCCCTTTCTCCTTCACTGTGTTGCTGCAGACTGTTTACATTATAAAGTAAATATTTGTTAAAATCTGAACATTTATAAAGGTGGACCTAACTTCTTAGTGTGTTGAACTCCAAATATTGAACACGCATAGGGAATTTGTTGAAACGCTAATCAAAAGATTAGGGAAACTAGAATTCAGTGTTTGCAGCATAGAAGGTAACTGCATTTGAGAACTCATTAGTCTGTGTTCATTGTCTTGCTTTGTTCTTGATTCTAAAAACTTTACATCTCTGGGCTTTTTTTTTTTTTTACTAGGAGAGCAGTGGGTCTGCAAGAACAGACTACAGAGCCATTCAGCTAGCCAAGAAAAAGAAACAAAAAGGGAATGGCAGCAGCACAGGTGAGAAGCCATTAATTTTGTCAGATTTACTAAATACAATTATTTAGGATTTTTGGCACTGCAATGGGAGCAGGTTTCTGAGCGGCATTCTTAAATGTCCCATCCAGTATATTGCTAGTTAAAATGATTATGCATGTGGTGTACCATCTGTTACTCTGGATAATCACGTTCTGTGGAATATCAAATTCACAGTAAGTTTACAAAGAAAGATGCACCATATGTTTCATGGTTGTTAACAAGACACTAGCTCTCCATCTCTTCATCTGCTTTTTATTTTCTTATTAAAACAAAAAAAAATTAAGGTCACTTTGCTTTCTGTTGTTTATGCTTTTGGTCTTACTTAAGGCGTTCTTTCAGTCAGTAGAGACAATAAAAACAGCTGGAATTTTGCTTGTATGTTTCTCTTAGTGATAGTGTGTATACAGTGTTAAGGAATTTATTTTTTATTTATCTGGAAATACTCAAACCTCTCTCTCAGATTTTTGCCTTGTAGGGAGTTCTTGTGCAGGCTGTGGTTTAGGTCATGATTCCAGATGTGTCCTCTTCTTCTTAAACTGTAGTTTGACTCAAAGCCATCTGATGTGAATTATATGCTACTCCTTTGTCAGGCCAAACATGGTCCATGGCTCACTAGACTTGCACGAGCTCAGATGTTTGAGTTGTGTCTACCTTTGGGGCTGGGGTGGAATATCATATATTTTTTATATGAATACCATATATGGAGAGAGAGTTTAGTTCCACTTTGCTATCTCTTAGACCTTCCTCCTCTGAAAATCAAGGCAATAATTTTTGAGGTGAGTTAAGAGACTAGTTCTGATTTGAGAACTGTTGTGTTTGTGTATTTGTAAAATGCATACCTGTATAAATTCTGTCTGGTTCCGTGAGTTGTCACATGGAAGGATAAGTGCATTATGAAGCCAGTCCTGAGTGTCCTTGTATTAGACATGTGCATGTGTCATCAACTGTGTCTTTTGGTTGTTAATTTGAAAAAGGCAATTACATTTTACAAATGTCTTCTGAAATGACCTCAGAAAACTCCTGTTTCTGTTCCTACTCAAGTCTTTCAGGTCCACCTTTCACCAGCTATTGCCTTAATGCTACCCACTGCTTCTCTAAGTGATCTAGAGCATCTTGTATCTCTAACTGGTTTAACTAGGTTGAGTGAATACTATGGAGGGAAGTTCAGTGTTTAAAAAGAAGTTATCCAAGCCCTTCATTTATTATAGATGAAAAAAGACCCCAAAAACCCGCAGAGCTGACAGGACTGTATCCTTGCAATTGTTTTGATTAGGTTTTTGGTTTTCAGCTTGTAATACAGCAGCTGATTTATCTTGCTTTAAACTGAAAGAAGCTTAAGTTGTGATAATTGTATTTGTGTAGCCCATTCTACCCAACAGTCCTTGAAATCTTTCTGAAAGTAGATGAGCTTCACTATGCTCTTTTTACAGTTTAGAAAAATGATGTGCATGACTTCTCAGGAAATGAATTGCAAAATTAAAAATAGAAAATGCAATTCTGCTTCCTAATTCCTTTCTATAGCTCCACAAATATACCAGTATTTCTGTGCTACCACAGGGGTGAACCCTAAGCTTAGCAGTTTGTGATGTGGTTTTAATGGTGTTCATGTAAAAAGATGCTCACTCAGAGCTTTTAGCATTTTCAGATGGTGCTTAATTATATTGCACTGTTGCAGGCATTTGCTGTGTAGTGTAAATAGCTGCATAAAATTGAAAAGTACTAGCAGGATGCTTTGGTTAATTGTTTCTGACCATCTAACTATTAAAACTGCTCTCTTTTAGGGGCATCTGGCTCTGGTCAGAGGAAAAACAAAGGTGGTAAAGTAAGCCCTACCAACTTTTCATCATCGACTCCTGGCAGTCGACTGGGTGGCAACATAGTTCTGCCAAATGGAGGGCTGACAATAAGGGACCCTGCCACTGGAGCTCAGTATGTGCAAATTCAGCTTCTTCAGGTAAGAGCTAAGGAGAAAAAACATGCTCATTTTCTCTGTTACCCAAATTGGCACATTTGTGGAAGAATTTGACTGTTTGTGAACTCAGGTACTGCTGCCCCTGGATGAGATCATGAGCTCTGCAGTATTCTTACATTATTCCACATCTCAATTACAAAGTAAATATTAAAACAAGTAAATATTAAAACAAGTAAATACTTAAGTATAAATAGTAATTAGACAAAATATAAATAAATATTAAAGTAAGTAAATGAGACTGACTTGAAAACATTCCTGCAAAAGGAAGCTTCAGCCTTAACTGTTATTTTTCTAAACTGTTGAAATGAAGCTTTAAAAAAACCCAAAACAACCTAGTAATTGGTGTGGACTGATTAGAGGAGCATGAAAGGTAATAGTTTTTGGCCAGGTGTGTATCTGTGTAGTATTCAGAGAGAGGGGTAAGTTGCTTCTACTTTACTCCTAAACAACTATGGTATGGAGGAAGCTGTGGGCAGAGTTCTCCATCCATCTGGTTTTCTGAGGGGTGTTTGTAACATAACAAACATGAAAGTTTGTAACTTTTATGTTAAGTATCAGCTTTATGCAAACATGGTGAAACTTGTTTCACATTGCTGAGTGTTACATTTGTTGGAAGATGAACAATTCCTTCCTTTTCAGATCTTGCCAGTGGTCCTGATGAAGACAGGATAATAGGTTGTACTCTGGGTTGGGTTCAGATTTCAGTGGTAGTTAGCTTTGTACATGTTTGTAGATCTAGGCCTTACTAGTACAGTGCAGTGGCTTTAGCAGATTTTTTAACATCATGAGGCTGAGTGAAATTTGCCCTATTGTGCTGAGATGCCTGGGGGTTGTGTAATTTTATCATATTTCTGTGTTCACAGGATGATTCCCCAGGAGAGGGAGATTTGCCCTTTCAGCTGAGCTCCCAGTCCTCCTCATCACATTCTCAGCTTACAGTGGATTTACCTGTTCACATACTTCAGGTACAGCACGTCAAGCCATTGGGTTTTATTGCCTTGCTTGAAAGTGAAGACAGTTTACTGTAAACACTCACATTCTGCCTAATGAAAGTACCTTTTTTTCTATTGGGAGTTTAATTTCACTCACACAAAGTAGTAAGCAGAGAGCTGCATTACACAATTTATCTTGTGTCTGTTACTAACCTTTGACACATCATAGGTGGTTGTTTCTCTTCCTCTGTTACTGAGTAATGAATAACTAAATGTTACTCATTTATTCTGAAGTGCCCCCATCCTTATTTTCCTGATCCCAGCCTGCAGATAGTAGGTGGGTCAATAAAGAATCAGAATTGGAATGTAACAGGCTACAGGAAGGATAGGAAGTGGGAAGTAGAATCTTCAGCCTAGATTTCAGAGTGGTGTCCATATGGGAATGGCAGGTTACAAAGCCTGCTCAGGGGCTCTCAGTTTTGATAAACTCTGCAATGCACCTATTCTTGCCAAGTGGGCTTCTCCTAGGTAGAAAATAAAGCTTTTTTTATTGAGGAGGGGCACCTTACTGTGCTAAACCTAGAAATACAAGAAGAGTAGGGTTGTTGGCCATGGTGGGGAGTTAATGGAGGAAAACCAAATAGCAATTTTAAATTTAAATGCTCATCTGAAGTGTTCCACAGAAAAACTGCAGCAACATTGTTTGGGTGGATCCCCAAAGTAGGAAAGCTTTGGGGTTCCCTTGAACCATTCAAAACACTGCTGTGCTGTTGAATAAATGTCAAGGTAATCTTGCTGATAAGCACTAAAAGCATCTAGAGGTGAAAGTACTGAACTCTTCATGCTGTCTGTTTGCTTTAACAGGAACCACACAATTCCACTGAAGATGATGCAGGTTCTGATAACTCTCAGTTCACTGGAAGCACAATAAACTTACAGGATCTGGAATGACCATTATTAAGAACAGTTACTTGAAAACAAATTGGGCAATCATGACAGAGTGAGATAACTATATGGGTCTTTTTCCGAGGAAAATATGAAAAGTAGGAGAACTGAAGTATGGTTGCACTCTTTGTGATTTGCTAAAGACAGTTGTAGCTGAAAGATTTTCTTAAAAAATGTAAATCCCACTTGATGTGCCTGTGTAAGATACCCTGTCTGCCTGGTGGTCGGGGAGGCTGAGGCAGACTGCTGTACAGTGTTGTTTCAGGGAGAAGTACTGTATTACACTTCAAACTGAGGTAATATTTACTGTTTTCACAGGAAACCAAGTATTCTACAGCTAACAAGTGCAAATTTATAATCCTGCCTATGACAGTTAAAAGTTTCTTTCCATTGGTTTCCTGCTGGAGCCAGTGGCGTCGAGGAATTAAGAGCTAAAATTTGCAAGTGTTTTCCACACACAAAAACCATAATTGTTTTGGCCCATGTTTTGGCAGAAAACTGGAATAAAGTGTCACATGTAACAAAATTAACGTTCTATGCCATGAAAATGAGATGCTCTAAAATCTTTGTTTTAGAAAGCTAGATTCTAAATGTTAACTTAGCTGTGAATCAGTTTGTAGCTCATGTTGAGTTTCTCCCTTTCCTTACTCCCACGTCCCAAATACTTTGCTGAATTCTTCCAGCAAAACTTGAAAAAGAAAACTGCAATAGAACTGTACTCACTGTAAGTGATTAGCTAAGAGTCCAACAGCATCTGAGAGAGGTTTGTTTTTATCTTTGTGTTCCCTTTTTTGGGAGGAATGTTGACTGTCCTGTAAATTTAAGCACCTTGATTTTTGTCTCATCTATAAACCGCTGCCAAGTTACCTGTAAACTGGCCACTACTATTTTATTTTGAGTTGTTTGATGTTTTGGGTTTTTTTTTAATGGAACACTGTTAACACATGTTCTTTATTGCTATCCCAGAGTGCCACATGCACGTGCAGCTTACGGCTGGTTTACAGAATATGCAGTTGTCAGAGTATTTTGTGAGGGGAAAAGAATTGTTACCCAGAGAGATTTGCCCCACTGAAAAAGTGCAGTTTCTCTTGGGGCTGGGGGGAGAGGTTGTATGTACTCTACTTATCTGGATTGCAGACACCTAAATAAGTATAGGGTTGTATAGGGGAAAAAAACCACCTTTGGTTACGTTTTAAGGTAGTAATTTAAATGTTTCTTATGGTGATGTTCTGAATGCCTATAAAAGTATGTATAGGAGTTTGATAAAAGGCTGTATGTACTGTTTTTTTTTATTCTCAGTGAGGTGTGTGTATGCACGTATGTGTATTTTTTTTTTTTTACAAAATAAGATATGTCACAGAGGGGAACGTTGTGATCTTTCTAATCTTGCACATATTTATTTATTTTACAGTTATACTGATGTTAAATTCACATGAGGTTGTTCAGAAATGCTTTTACTTCCTGTGCCTTTTGAACTATGTATGTGTCCATATAAATGCTTTTTTTGATTGAAGACTTGGGGAGGGAAAAAGCATACAGGTTACATTGAACTTCAGCTCCTGATTTGTAGGCAGTATTATATCCTCTGGTTGAACCAGTTTTATTTTTCTATCTTTAGCCTAACTGAGCATTGAGGTCTCTCTGTTCCTCTCACTCTGAGTTTACAGCTTATGTCCAGGGAAAGTCTTAATCTTCTCAGGCTGGGTTTCCAAACCAAACTGTTGGTAGATGAGATCTACCCAGTGGCTGTGACTGCAGCATGGAGTCCACTCCTGAGAGAGAGAGAGAGATTGAGAAGGAATTGTGCTCCAGGGACTCCTTGGTCTTGCTCTAGTGGTCACCATGCTCTCCCTGGAAGCTGAGACACCTCGAGCTCCCAATGCCTGCATTATTCTGTTCTCAAGGACCATACCAGTTCTTACTCTATTAAAATGGCCAAGGAACACTCCATCTTTTTATGGGACTTGCAACCAAATCTTTCTACTTCTGAAAATGTACCTCACTCAGCTTTGTAAGTGAATGTAAAGTGCTAACCTCTTGGGGCAGAAAATTGGATTACTTGGCTTGGAGTCCATTGCTGGCAATGGATACCTGAAGAACTGCTGGTGCAAAAGGGTTAATAAAGCTTTTTTTTTTATGGTCAGTTTGTCACTGGGTGTTGTTCTTTGCTTGGATGCATCTGACATAAAGCTAATTACTAGCACCTTGATTTCTGCAGAGCCTTGTTTTTCCTTTGGTTGCGTCTTTTCCGCAGTAGTGGGGTGGAGTCTGTAATGAAACCCATCCTTTGGATTAAAGCATAGCCATTGTTTTTTATAGCCCTTCAACAATCTTGTGATTTATCTTAAGTGTCTGGCAGGTGCCTGACTTAGTTGTGCCTTAACAAAGGTTGTCACCCAGGACTGTGATAGATCTCTCTGCTCGGGTTTGTAGGCATAGAGCTACTGGCATTAAACACTGAATGAGAAAAGCATTGGTGCTTAGCAGGAGCCTGAGAAGCAAAATAAGATAATTTTTATTTATTTTCTTAGGCAAAATATCAATGGGCAGGAAAAGAGGTTGCAAATTTTCCCTGGAGTCTTAGAATAGGAGAAGAAGGAAGTTTCATGGGACTGAAGTTGTTCAACTGAGCAAAGACAGAATGTAGATCTACAAGACTAGTTCTAGAGCAGCTTCAGCCCTATGTGCTGTGATTGAGGCTGTGCTGTCAAGAGAAATAATACATTTGTTCTTCCTTCTCCTTATCTATTTGTTCTTGGGTGGTCTTCTTCTCCTTCCTGGCAGGTGGGTTGGAATGAAACACCAGCTTCCCGCCATTCTGCGGAGGAAGAAGAGCTATGTTAATCAGTGCTGTGTCTGAACCACGTGGCTAAAGCTGTTTCATGAGGGGCCGTGGCCCCTTGCTCTCTATTTTCTAGGCAGGCTGCAGTGTGTCTAAGTGTGTTTTTTGTATTAGAAAGTGCATGTGAAGCACCTGAAGGCCATGTGTGTGCTTGTGCTTCAGCTGCTACAACGTACTGTTGTACCTACAGCTGGTTTCTGACTCATTTGTACTGTCATTTGTACTGTCTCAGGAAGAGCAGGGGAAGTTGGAAGTCCAAAGAAATATCAGCGGGAGCCTGCAGAACCCTCTGTTCTCTCATGGCACCTGTTCTCTGTCACCCATGCTGTCAGTGCTTTGCTGTGTGACAGAGCTGGGGTGTCCTTGCTGCCGTGTTGGCCTGTGGAAGGTGCAGCAGGGGCTGTGGCTGAAGCTCAGTTTGGCATAATATGGCACATGTCAGAAAAGGTGTGGTTTGATGGGATGGCGAAGCTGACTGAGGGTCTTGCTGCTGTTGTCAGGTGTGTCTTGCTCATGCCCATTTCCTCATTTGCCAGTGTTCTTGCTTTGTTTAATACAGCCAAGTTATTGAGTTGAAATGAGCTTACTGAGAACTGGCAAGTAATGGAGGGAGCCATGTGGTTGAGAGAAGGATAGGAGAAAGACAATGGAAGGATACTGAGCTGGAAGAGTGTGCACTGTGACTGACTTCCCAGCAGTGGCTTAAGTTACATCACTCCTGTAAATTGTAAATTGTGCTATGCCTGGCTATTGGTACCATCCCCACACAGCTGTGGAGGCCCCTAGTAACACTATTCCCTTAAACACTTGCTATTCAGGTACCTCTAGCTTCCCTGAAGTGGGCTATTGAGGTGAGAATCACTGCACTTACCTTTTTTTCTACAGTTGCCTGGAATCTTTCCATGTCCCTTTTCAATTCTTCCTCCTGCTGCTGCTTCTGTTTCAGCTTTTCCTCTCTGAGCCTTTTGAAGGGAGGAAATAAAGGATGAGTTAAATCCAGCATGCAGCTACACCAGATGTGCTTTTGACACACAGCATGAACATCTAACATTACATTTTACATCACACCTTACATGTAACCATGTAGGACCACCAGAGCACAGGGGTTTGGGTGCAGCCTTTGCTGGAGTTTGTTACTGGGAAGGTAACTGAACTGAATTCTTAACCTTGTGATCCTGAGGAAAACTTTAAATGCTTTTTGAAGGTTTTTTTTTAGTTTGATTGGTTTTGTTTTTATTTGGGGTGTGGGGTATGTGGTGTCAGGATCTTCCCTGAATTATTCTCCTCTATCCCCAGCATAGAATAAATGTGTGTCTTATTTTGTAATTTAAGAGTGCAGGCCCATTCACAGAACATCAGGAAGAAACACCACACCCTTTCTACTCCAAAGCTGAATAAAGATACAGAGAAAGAGTAAGCAGGAGGGAAATATCACTGCTCTGGCTTTAAATCCTCAGACTGTTCTCATTCACCTGAAGATGGCCTGATACGGTCAGCAGTTCATTTGTCTTTGCAATTTTTGAGGGGAAATTTCATGTAAGTGACTGGGCCAAAGGGAATGTGTCTTATCTTGGAACCTGAATTGATTGTTTTAATTGGCTACTATTTAATAAAACAAGTCAAATTTAAGAGTTTTGTAGAAGAAACATTTGAAACCTGTCATTGCTGTGAAATACCCTTATGTACCTATTGAATACCTGACAAAATATCAGGGCATGGCAGACTTTGAGTGTGTTAACTAGAGGAGTAATTTTCTATTTAATCAGTTTAAAAGGAGTAATTTTCTATTTAATCAGATTAAATATTGTAAGTAGTCTTCTTAAAATTATGATTCTCATCATTGAGTCTGGTTTGTTTGTGAGTTTGGTGTTTTTTATTCTTCTGAATTTTTCCCTTCTCCAATGTAGCTTGCAGGTCTTTTCTAATGTAGCTGTGAGCTGCTGCTCACTGCTCAGGAGACTCAAGTTCTATGAATGTGGAACCCTTACAGAAGAAAAATGGTATGGATTGGTCACATGGGATTTCAGATTGCTGCTACAGTTTTTTGGGTCGATTTGACTCTTTTTGAGTCTTTTTTTGACCTCTATTTAAAAATAGAGGTATTTTCCAGAAGAGGGTCTTGCCTTACCTTGCCCTCTTTTCCTTTCTCATGGCTTTCTGAGCCTTTTCTATCTGTGATGATGGAATTCCCTCCAGGTTATCCAGTAAATCATTGAGCTGTTTTTCTATTACTTTTAGCATCTCTATTGTCTTCAGGTTTGTCTCATTGTCTCCAGTGCAGTGGGAATAGACTTCCAACACCTTCTTCTTCAGGCTTGTGAGCATTTTGTCCTAGAGGTAAGAGGAGGTATGTAAGAGGCACATCTGGGTCCTGCCCAGTAGAACCATAATATCCCTCCAAAACCAAAGGAAGTCAGTAAAGGAAACACTTTAATTTCCTCAGCAAGACTCAGTTGCTTGGTTTGCGGTTGGCTTAGCAGCAGTGGCTGGGACAGATGGCTTTATTGAGCCTTTCTCCTGTTGGTCCCATCTTCCTAGCTTTGCTGTGACTTGGGGCAGGTTTGGGCTGCCCAGGTGTCTTTATGGCCCCTGCTCTCACCTCATAGCAGCTGCATGGAGCAGGCACATTTGCTGTCTCAGCAGTGCCCTAAACCTGCCCTTGCTATAGCTCCATTGCTGGGAAATAGTGCTGATCCCTGCCCAGTGAACCCACTGCCTGCTCTGTTCCCGGGATATGGATATGGCTGGTGGAGAGGAACCACTTACACCCATGTGAACCCCCCTTGCCTTGATCTCAGCATGTACCTGGTCATCAGCTTCATGTTCTCCACAGGAAAAGAGGTGGACTCTGAGCTTCAGCTCTGCTATTCTCTCTTCTTCCTGGGCGACAGCGGACTGCAGGGTGTTTACCTCCTGTTTCAGCTCTGCTAACTCCTTCTCCCTAGGCCAGAAGAGAGAGGAGGTATTTGGAAAGGGCATCTCTGAAACACAGGGTTCTTCTGCTCCCCCCAGCCTGGGCCCATCCCTTCTACTGCCAGCAGATGGAGGTAACACTTCAGCTTTTCCTGGAAATTTGCACCCACAGCCCTGAGAGCTTCTGTTTTTTCTGGAAAAACAGTTTCTGTGCTAATGTGAGGAAGGAAAAAGTAGCCTAGCTAAACTAAGATTTTTTAATAGTCAGTGGGGGATCCAGATTTAAAAATTTTCACAAGGGGATAAATTACACTTTGAATGGGAATATGTGTGTCTAGCTGCCATTGAAATAGTATATTACAATGACACTTGGGTTCCCTTCTGTCTTCCTCTTAGAAGGTTTTACATTGAGTCATTGTAGGTGCTGGTCTGGATCACTCCAGAAATTGCCTTGTTTCTTCCTTTGATCTTTCTTTATGAGAATTACACAATGCTTCTGTCTCATATTCACTCCAGGATGCTAAATACATCAGTTCCCTAGTCTGCACCTTGAGGACTAAGGAATTAGTCCCAAGCTCAAGCCTTATCTTCTAAATTAAACATAGATGGGACGCTTTCCTGGGAGCTCACAACAGAGTCTCTGTTGTGTGCTGTGTGAACAGCATTACATGTGATCTGCAGGTAGTGAGATGCTAGTGGTGGGCAGAGGGGTCCCTTCCCATCTCTTGCAGGATCACACTTACATGCTTTCGTGTGTGGTGATGAAAGTGTGCTGGACCTTGTTCCATTTTTCCTCAATATCCTGGGAATTCTTGATGAAGGATATGTTCTCATCCTGCATCTTCATGAAAGTAATCAGCAGTTGTTCGGGATGAGTAAAATACAACTCAGGCTCCTAGGGTGGAAAACACATGTGATGAGTGTTTTTCCTTCTCCAGCCTCTTGAACTACCTGGAGGTTGGTCTGCACCAGCCCTGGCTGTTCAAACACTCTTCCATCAAGAGAGGTCTGTGGCTGTCCATTTACAAATGTCTCCCACCTTCCTGCCATGTGTGTAGCTTTACTCTGCCTCAGCAGCTCACCCCCAAAACAAGTAGTGTTTTGGGGGGTAAAAAGTGATTCAAACATCTGTGAGAGGAAAGCTTCAATTTCAGACATAAATCACTAATTTAAAAATCTTCCATTATATGATGTCATATCAGGTTGGGGGATGACAAGCTTAGAGATGATGGCAGGTTTTTGGAAACTGGAGGAGGAAAGTTCAACTAAACTATTTATAATACATATTGCCAAAACATGAACTTTTATGAATGTATAAACATACGTTTATAATTTGTGGCTACAGTAACTCCTCAGTACCATAACAAATGGTTATAAGGCGAGGGAAA